ATGGCGATATGAGTTAAACATAAAACATTCTATATTCTTTTACTTGTGTTATCATTCTTTTTTGAACGTGTTAAAATCTGACGAGTATTTTATCAAACATTTCCATAATCTTATATTTTCTCACTTATCGTTTCACATAATATTTTTCTCATTCTTTTTTTAGCAATAGAAAATGCTTCATAAATAAAAACTATGAAGTATTATCGGAAAAAACATACATCTTAATTTCTTTATCTAAGCATGTATAACGATGCACTTAAAAGTTGCAATATACCTTAACAGCAGAATGGCTCGGGCCAATGTTCCTGAATCTTGGCTTAGTAAAGATTCAAAGGGCCTTTATTTTTCCTATATTTCCCCTATATAGAATTTTTCGATTCACCCGATATTTTACATCCATTATTTAGCCAATGTAGGTTCTACATTGGCCAATGTAGGTCCAATATAGGCCACTCTAGGACCAATATTAAAAAATCTAGACATCCCAATATTGGTCCCTCCGTGTATGTTCTTTAGGACCCATATCAAGCCAATTTTGAACCTAACTGCTGCCAAGGTAAAATTGTTTCTAGGGTAACTATTCAAGTGGATTTTTATCTCCATAAAGAAAACTAAAGTCATAAATGAAAACTAAAAAGAAAGAATGAAAAAAAACATACTATTAATAATTTCTTATCGAAGCATAATATTAATCGTATTAAAATTTGAATGCAGTTTTATAATCGTTATTAAAACAGAAATTCAACGACATGAGAAAATTGATACCATAATAGAAACTATAATGAAAGGAAAAGTAGTCTTTTTAAACTTTCGATATTAAAGTATATAACTTTAAATTTTGATATTTAATGGTTGGTTTGGTTGGTTGGTTGGTTCGAATGCCACTTGCCACACGGGCAAGCCTGCTTGGTGAAACCAAGCAAATTTAAGACAGAGTGTGCTATTCTTGTTTTTCAGTGGCGCCATCTATGGCCAAGAATTCGACTTCTGCCACACCATACGTCACAGCTGTTTATAAGGCGGACCCATTTATACATTCATTCATTCATCCACAGATCGTAATTTTGACCTGAATCAGAGAACGATCGATCTCCAATCCAGTACCCCCAGAGTCTATGGTTAGTTATGGGAGCCAGATTTATGGGAACATGGAGGACTTTGCGATTCGACAGAATTTTTAACGTGCATCAGTCACAGATATTTTATTGTTTTGTGATATTTGCTAATGCAGAAAATAAATGCTTCTCCATTTTACAACTAAGCTATATTCTAGATCAGTGTGGACCGATCCGTGAGGATCCGCATGCAACTCACCTACTCTTAGATCCTTGCTCTTCTTTTTTGATGAAATATTTTAATTTAAAGTTTAGAATATAAATTGTCTTCTCGCTGCTTTAAAGTTTTAATCAATACTATAATTAAGTCAACAGGAAAATTCTGTCCACGAATGTGCAACATTCCTTTTACAGTAGTGCAAAATATAGTGCTGTTATAAAGAAAATGGTAAAGTATTTACACTTTTTACTCAGTGATAATTTCCCAGCTTAAAGATACACAGCAAAAGAGCATGTGCAGCAAAAGAACTTGGCGCAAAAGAGTATGTGAATATTTCTAACGAATTATGTATGCAAACGTAAGTATCCGACAGAACAAAGCAGTACATCTAATCTATATAAAATTAAGGGTAAACTAAGCGTAAAGACCCTACCACTTTTTTTTAATAAAAGCACTTGTTCCAGGTCTGTATAATCGAATGTATTCTTCCTCGGACAGAATTTTACGTGGACCAAAGTTTTTCAAAGTTTACGTAAGTAGTACCTTATAATCTTTATTTCCTAAATAACAAACAAATTGATAATAATTATAAACCGTTATAATACTGGCCGTGCCAACTCCGAATTATAATTTCCTTTAATACAAAGGTATTTAGCACAGCTACGTTGCTTTGTTGCTGTTAATTGCACTGTTCACCATATTTGATATTGAAATGAGTGAGGCGCCATTTGAAAAATCAAATTAATAGAGCAGGAATGCCACAGGCGACAAAAAATGTAAGAAAGGGTAAAAACTGGATTCATTTTTTATTTATTTAATTATTCAATCATCACTATCACCATGACATGTATCGTAAATTATTCAAATTTACAAATAAAAAAAAATAGTGCGTGGAGTCCCTCCGCGCGGAAGAAGTTAAACTTCGTAGCCTGCGACTTTAATTGTAGAAGAATCAGCAGTCGTAGAAGGATCACTAGTTCTATTCAACGACTCTTTTTTTCTGCTCCGCTCGCTTCTGTGCTCTGTAATAACGGTAATATTGTGCATTTTTCCCTCGTGGACCTCTTGAACCAGTGGAAGTGCTTGTTGTTGCCTCATCGTCTCGCCATGGAAAATGTATTTGTATTAATAATGTATGTGAATGCGTCATAATGCAATTTCAGAAGAGAAAACCTAACAATCAATTGATATTCACAAGAGACGTACCTTGACATAACCTTAAATCCGTCGCATTGTCCGTGGGATTGTTTTCACTCATTTTTTACAATTCTTATCCACTAAATTTGAAAATGAAAAATACTACCCTATTAAATTATATGTGTATCAAAACAAACTAAAAAAAATATTTATAGAAAAACAATACTTTTATGACTTTTATTATTTTTATGCTAGTGAGAACCAAAGCAATATGGAAATGAATGAGGGAAAACTGGATCCAACCACGTGATTTCCCGGCCAATAAAAATGTGGCGTTAAACGTTTAACGCAACCTTGTTGGAAGTCGCATAAGAAGTATAACTTCAAAAATCCTTTGCAGTCATCTTTGTTAGTAATCTGAAAGAAACATGTTAGAAAAAGTTGTCAATTTTAATCTCTTTAAATAGATTTTTACTTCTCGTTAATCACCACTTTTTACATTTTTAATCGCCTGCGGCATCCCTGACAAAGTGAAAATGCAACTAAAAATGCGTTTGAATTTTTGATATATAATGATGGAAAAATTACTTGAAATTTAAAATTAAAAATACTAAAGTAAAAATAACTTACATTTCATTACCACAAGAAAATACTTTTTTATAAAGCGGAACAAGTTAGTATCTCTGTAACAATACAGAATAATTTTTTTACTATTCATAATTAAACTGTGTCTTGAAAATTTGAAATCGATACGGTAAAGAGAAAAAAAAAACCGGTGGTTATACCATTTTAATTATAGCCGGTTTTAGGGAGGGGTCAAACAAGCTTTAACATGTTGAATACCATGGGGGTCACTGGTGAACGGCGAAGCCAAGATTATTAGAAACACATAATTCGAGTAAATTTTTAATTTTTTTTAATATTATTATCGTTAATAAAATGGTTTGAAGAAATTAATGCATTATAGAAACACAAAAAATTAGTTTTATTTATATACACAGAGATGACAACTTGCTCCCGACAGCGAATAAATATTTTCTAGTGGTAGTTTATTAATTGTGATTCGTGGTTTAATAAATTTAATTTAGTAGATTTTCATTCTCCACTATTTTTAAGCAGTTCGTAGCCATACATTCGTTCGTAGCCAATTCAACACTTGTATCAGGCATACCCTCCAACTTATGAGGATTTTGAAAATGATTCTTTCTAGTGGTAGCGAACCAAAGTAGAAATTTTTAAAGCAAATGGATCTCTCATAAAGCTTTTATCAGAACTTAAGAATCTAGCCATATGGCCTGCACTTTTATAAGTAATAGTGAACAAGTTACGCTAAAATTATTTTTTTTAAAATATGTATTAAGACATTAATTTTGCCACCGTCTGAAAAGGAGATTTCTGAAACTACGGAAATTCCGTAGCAGTTGGAGGGTATGTGACATGCATTACAACGAACGAAAGAGCAGATATGGCATGCCAAACCTTTAAAAAAAAAACTAGCAAAATCTGTCAAATTTAGTTTGTAGTTATTTACCGTGTGGCCAGACAGGCAAGCCGTGTAAAATTAGCGTGGCATTCAACGTGTTAAAATATTCTTAATTTGAAACTATTTATTTTAGACTTTTTTCTCGGGTAAAAATCAGCCCTACATATATTTTATAACTTTCAAAAATTCTTAGTTAATAATAATTAATGGATGATTTTTCTCTTCCCGAGAAAAAGCTAAATGGTTTTGTATACCAGATTTAACTCTTTTTCATTTTAATAGATATAAACTTTCAACCCCGGTGACTTCTTAACAATTCTAGCAATTCTTAACAAACATTTTTGTGCAGAAAAATTCACATAAGATTTCAATCGAAAATTTAAAAAATTTTCAAAATTTCTTGTTCAAAATGCCAATTGTTATTTTTTTTTTAAATCAAATTTCGTAAAGCAATGATTCATATCGTGTTTTATACTTTTCACTCTAAGACTAGTGGCATAGATAAACTTACCATATTTATAATAACTTTTTCGGTAATTGGGTATACTATAGCCTACGTCACAGGTCGTGTTATTCCTACTAAATTTAACTAGTAAACAGCATTTTCTGCGAACCTGATTTCTAGCAACAAGTAAACATTAAATGAAGTGTGTTGTTATAAGTCGCTACTCGGCAGGTTGGAATTGTATTAGTCTAGTTCCTTTTGANATTTAAAAAATATCTCTGGAAAAAGTTTTTTTCAAAAAACTTAAATAAATAATCGGGGTCTGAAAAAAAAAATAAAATTGAGAATAATTTTCAAATAACCGAGTTTAAAAAAAAAACGAAGCTAGCATAAGTGAATATTTTTTTAAAGCCGCGTCTATGAAATATTTATGCTATGAAAGGCAATGCTCGCATTGATTTTTTTGTTCAAAACATTGCGTTCGAAATTGAAATGAGTTGGTTTAAATAAACTGTTTACAATGCAATGACAGAATCGCCAATGAACGAACAATTTGCAAAATCAATAGAGATCGATAATTGTAAACGCAATTTGTAAATTCTCCCTCCGCGTCAAAACAAGACTAAGTCAAGGTCTTATTTCAAGGTCCAATTGAAACAAAAAAGACTAAGTAAAGACTGTATACGGAAAAGATTCGCCGGTGTCTGACATCATTTTTCCATCCGGCAGCAATCAGTAGACAGTTTTTTTTATAACTTTTCTCGTATTAACATAATTTGAAAACTTTTAAAGTATGGATTCGACAAGTGAGGATAACATCGTGGTTTTAAATAATGGACAGCACATGCCGATTATTGGATTAGGAATGTTTCAGGTGTGTTATCTTTTTCTTTCTCCCATGTTCTTCAGTTTTTGCTATCTTTAGTTAACGCCTAGAGCTTTTTTCAGATACAGAGCCCTAAACGATCAATTTTCTCATGACGTCACCCTGACTTTAAAAAGGTCATTAGCAGGTGTAAATAGGCTTACAAAAATTTTTAAAAGCATTTAATGGGAAGAATTACAATTTTTTCATTGTTTCCTCAATTAGCCTTAAAATTAGGTTTTATGTTTGGCAGATAAATTCACAAGTGTGAAGCTGTTTTTAGAATAGTAGTTTTTGACATATGCATAAATCAAAAAAAGAAAACATATGCATAAATAACAAAACATATGCATGAATTAAAAAAAAAGGTTTTGGAAAAAGAACTTTTATAAACAGTGAGAATGGTTTTAGGAGAAAAAGTATTCATTATTTTTGAATTATGTTATTTTATTTCGAATTTCAAAGTTCGATGAGAAATACTGATGCAATCATTTGTAAATGCATATCCCTATAATAATATCGTAATTTTTTTTTTAAATTTCTCATCTTTTATTGGCATTTTACCTAAACAATTTCATAAAAATAATCTAAATATTAAATAAATAATCGATTAATGGTAGGATACAAATTTATTATAATTATCAAAAATCTTTACTGGTTTAAAAAAAGGTGCCTAACTCACGGAACATCTTTAACTTTTTCAGGGAACCCTAGGGTTCCACGGAACACCTTTTGAGAACTGCTGGCCTTGAGAACAAAATACGGGTAGAGGGTAGAATACGGTGCCCTGAATTGGGCACCTGTAAATAGGAGCTTTTGCTGTGAATAAAATCTTTCAATTTCCTTTTGCTTATATTTCAATTTCTTAGAATTAAAAAATCTCACTTATAAGTCAGTCTCCCTGTTTTTTGAAGAATATAAAAAATCGATATAATAGACCAAAATAAGTAAGACACTCACTTGGTAAGTTTTCCCCAATATTTAAGAATAAAAAAAAAAGAATGTAAGCTTCACTGAGTAAAAGTTTCACTATTAGAATTTGGTAGCAAGATTATAAAAAAATGAGTTAAGGAGGAACATTTGTGATTGTTTTCGAACGAACTTGTTTTTGTTTTTTAGTAAATTTACTATCACTTATTATATAAAGCCATCGATATTTATATGCTTATTACTCTACATGTTATGGATACTATTTAATATTTAAAAAAACTAATTCTGTAAAAATAAGAACATTGACTACTAACGGTAACTAACATTCAACTTAACACGTTCACGCCGGGGTGCCCCACCGGTGGGTCACGCTAGATTGTCTCATCTTGGCAGCGCACCGGAGTAAAAACTGGTAACAATAAATTTCATTTTTCTGTTTTTTTCCGAGAATTATTAAAATCTATAACTACCAATTGTTTTTAACGGATGCAATTTTTATATTGAATTACTTCTTCGCCGTGATAAATTACCTTACAGTGAATTGTTATTATTGAGAATAGATTAACTCCTCCCGAATATTATATAACATTGAAATAGTTCATCTACCAGTATTTTCTCTTTTCACGTACCAGTATTTTCACTTTTCTCGGCGTGAACGTGTTAAAATGTTTTAAAAGTAAGTAGTAGAAATTTCACAGTTTATGTGGTTTATGTTGCAAAAGTTTATTTTAAGAATTCATTTTTTAAAAAGTAGGTATGTTTTGAAAAGATTGATTGTTTTTAAAGAGCTTGTTTTTCGATGTAAATTTATAGAGGGCCTAAAAAAAAGAATATGTTCATTTATCTTCATATTATTTTACATGTTTTGAACTATGTTTAATGTAAAAAAGAAAAGTTAATAATTCTATGAAATTAATTGTAAACCCGATAGCTCTTCAATTAGTTAGATTATATTTTCAGATGCCCTTTGGATTATCGCCAAGTTGGTCACTAAGAAAAGCGATGTTGTTTCATTTTGGCAACCCGCACAGAAACTTCTATACAGTATATACAACACCTCCTAGAAAAGAGTAGGCCTCTGCACGGGTTACCATAAATATCCTTTAGTAGTCCAAACGTAATGACTTATTTCGTATTTTCAACAACTGCGCAGCTTAGTACCCCGAACGTAATGACATCTTTCTTATTTTTCATCAACTGCGCAGTTAACTTCGTCACATCGGACTACTAATTTGATCCGTGCTGAGGCCTTCCTTATTCTAGGAGGTGTTGGTATATACCGTTGTATAAGTCGACTCCCTATTTTTTGATTGCGAGATGGCAAATTTCTCTGGTGTCCAGCGTGCAAGACGAAAGCAAAAAAAAAAAAAAAAAAAAAAAAAAAAAAAAAAAAAAAAAAAAAAAAAAAAAAAAAAAAAANAAAAAAAAAAAAAAAAAATAATGATCATTTCTAAAATTAAGAAACATGAAGAAAAAATTGTTAAGTGCACAAAATTTTCTCAGGCTAAAATAAAATGAATAAATATGATGCTATGAGGCTCCCTCTTCGAATTAAGATGCATTAAAAAATGCTATGTACTGACCAATTAATCAGGTTTATTTTACTGCATGGGACGTCACTTGAAGGTTGGCAAAATGTGGATTCCTTATTGTAAAATCTTTTAAAAAGGGTAAAATTTCGAATTCTTTGGATGGGGAATAAGACGATTTTTCGTGGCAATCGAATCCATTGCAAAGTGGAATCAGTATGATGATCCAACTAACGATATTGAATCCGACTTAGAAGATGTTCTGGAATCTTTAAATTTGTAGCATTATGGTATGCTTTAAAAGTTTCCATTGTTTTGCAATTTCAAATTCTTGGACTGATTTTGTAAAACAAAAGTGGAAGCTATATCTCTAACATTTCCTATAGCTTTGTGGAAAGTTTTTCTCGTATTTTTATTTTATTAAAGTTATAAGAGGCATTATTTTGTTCTGAAGTTTTTAGAAATGCGACAAAATTTAGCAGAAATCTATGAAGTGAATGAAAAATCTATGATCTATTAAAAAATGTATGAAGCAGGAAAAGTAAAAAGTGATTTGAAAGCTAGGCACATCTAATCTGTTTCCAAACTATTAATTCATCCAAAATATGCATTAAGTTTTAAATTGTTTACGGCTATATGACATTTTATAAAAAATATGTAAATTGCTTGTATGCATAGTGATATAATGCTTCTCATTGGTAATTAAATTCAAAAATATTGTTTACTTTATGAAATAAAATGAAACTTTAAAAGCTATGTTTAAGTAGCCCATAAAAGAAAAAATAATTGTATTTTTGTCAGACCTAAAAATAAAAACGCAAGGCTCATCATTATCAAAAAGCGTGACAAGGAAATTTTCGGTAGCTATAGAAATTTGATGCGACAATTTTTTTTCTTTCTTTTTATCTGTCTGCAACTTTATAGTCTACTCGAAAAATGAACTTTTTTTTAGATATTTATTTTGTTTTATTGTTTCTTTCCGTCTGATCTTTTATCTAAAGGCCTGGATACGTAGATTAGATAATCTAGGGCTTTACTTTAATCTATTTGTTACTTTACTAATTCAAAATTTTGGTTGCAATTTTTATGAAAACAATACAATTGTGACCGGTGAAGCCATCAGGTACAAAAATCCGGTGTAAGTTTAATTACTCTTATCTCATACCTGCCAACTCTTCCGGATTTTCCTAAAGATTTTATTTTCATATTTAAAGTGGTAGTAATTATATACTATTTTTTCTTTTATANCGTTTTGTCCCGAATATATATATTGAAATGATACAAAAAGTGATTTTATGGAAAAAGTGGTAAAATATATTATCGAAATTAATTGTTTTTTCTATAGTTCGAGCATTCAAAAAGTCTTTGATAGATCAAAAAATACTTGCTCCTTATAATTCTAGATCTAATCAGAAATAACTAAATCATTGTGGTATCTGAAAATCTTTTAATTTACCTTTAAATCTTTTAAATGAAAATACTGAAAAAAGTTTCCCACCACAATGAATGTCTTTGAAAAAAGGAACTGTCCTAAATATATGACGCTGGGCGTTAACCGGTTAATATTAGAGAAAGGTAAATGGTTCATAATACAGATATATTAACATTCTTTTTTTTGCTTACATTAATATATTTTCTTAGTTAACTGAACGTTAGAAATTATCATTAACCATTTAGTCGGATATGAGTAGACGATAATAAAATAGTTACTTATCTTTATTTTTACACAAGAATTTTTTTTTAATATTCAAAGTGGTGAAACGTTTCACACTTTACCTTTTTATATAAGATTTAATAAACTTATTATACAATGAGTTTGATCAGCATTCTAAATAAACAATTAAATTAATTGCATTAGACTTGATAACAGAGATGCCAACTGCTCCGGACGCGCCATAATAATTTAAAAAACGGTAAACAACTACATACTAACATTTGTAAATATTTGACTAATTTTGTTGACTTTTTAAACGTATCGTGCGACTATAGGGTGAGAAAGTGGTGAATTATATGAGTATTTGAATTATCTAGAAATAGTGGTGGATAAAAACCTAATAAATTGAATTTATTAAACCAAGATCTGCACATTAATAAGCTACCACTCGAAAATATTTATTTGCTGTCAGGAGCAAGTTGGCATCTCTGTGATAAGCGTGAAGTGAGGTCAACCCAAATGGATCGCAGCCTTGGGGACGATGAATTGGTAACTTTAACGTGATAAACAACTCCAGATACGAGTGATATTACTAGGACGGCTGGGTCATCACTATAACAGAGTCGCAGACAAAGTACTTGCCGGACTATCCAACGCTTATATACCTTTTCTTTATCGTTGACAGATTTTTATAATTCTCGTGTAAATAGTTGTATATACATTCTTTATTTTTTTTATATTTTATTATATCAGCGTAAATGTTAATATTATTCTGAACCCTATAAATATTATTATATTCTAATCTAATTTAATATCAATTACGTTTAATTTTCTTTCCATTTCATGATGTGTTCAACCAATTGGTTTCTTGCTCATGACTTTTCTATTTGGTGCTTGGCAACCCCTCCTCCCCCCAATTCTACTCCCACTTCTCATATTCTCCATTATATATCTCAAAAATCTGAGGAATAAGTTAATGTAGCTTTGCGGCAAGGCACTGAGATTTCAGCTATGTTCTAATGTAACGGTGTTCGTAACACCTGGAAATGGTAAACAAAATCATTGTTGGGTACTTAGGCCTACCAACTTTCTACGCTTTTTGCAAAAACTTATTCTATGCTTACGTTTTAATGTATTATTTTTTTATTAATTTAAATTTATTTTCCACACCACACCATATAAATGATTTAAAAGTTCATAAACAATGCTGTGATAGGGTTTTCATGCTAATAAAATTTCGAAAGCTATTAATAAGCAGTGGTTTGCAGGTCTGAATGTACTGCTTTCTCTTAAGTTGGTTTAAAAAAATTTTTTTGTTAGGTAAAAAAAAGAAAGAAAAAAAAACAGTTTTCACCGTTTATTTAAACTTATACTGAAAAAAATAGAAATGAGATATTTTTATTAAACTTTATTTTCTATTTACCTAGCAGTCCTGTATATTGTAATATTACAAACAGGACCCAAAAAGTCCACCAAAATAATTAAAGTGGAACCAAAATTTATGTCAGAAAATGTGTCTCTTGTTTTGAAAAATATGTAATCAAAATGTTTCTCATCACTACAATAACTCTAATGCATTGACATTAATCTGACATCTAGCAGGTAATAATAATTATAATATATATATATATAAAAATCATTATACGCGCCAACGTCACTACTTACAAGATGGATAGGAAAAGGATCGTGAGCGGTCTCAGGCTATATAATGTTTATGAAAATTGAAGCACTGCGAAAGAATTGTCAGAAATTAATAAAATTTTTTCCAAACGTTACTGATAGCGGTACAAATGAGCATGCGCAATAGTAACACTTTCGCAATCACTTTGTATTTCTAAACATTTGTATGTTCTATCTCACTTTGGTTCAATTTGCATAATTTCGTCACTTTGTCTCAATTTTAACAAACATGAAAGCCCTCTATTAAATCTAGATAATTCAACAATTTGTAATAAAGATACTTATTACGTGGCTTTAATTACGTAGCTTTTAAAGAACTATAACTAGGTGACAATCCAACAACTGTTTGCGGAACCTAGTGATAAGTATCATAAATTAGTAAACACAAATTTTTAATTTTTGTTCCATTTAGAATAAAACATTAATTTGTTTTCTCCAAAATATTAGTTTTATAAAAAATTAATTTTAAAAGCTATCATTTTTTAAAAAAGATAACAATCAACAGCACTATAATAATATTGGGTTTCATAAATAAATATTTTTCTTTCAGACGAAAGATGGTGATGATATTGATAGCGTGATTTCTACAGCAATCGATGCAGGATATCGACTTATCGATACGGCTTTTACCTACAACAATGAGCACTTACTTGGACAAGCACTTCAGAAGTTATTCAAAAGCGGAAAAATTAAAAGAGAGGAACTATTCATAACGAGCAAGGTAATTTCGAACATTTTGTTGCTTACTTAAAGGAACGGAATTTCTTAACGATGTTTAGAAACAGAAGGATATTGTCGCATTAATTCAATAAGTTCATTCATAACGGCTCATCTCTTCTTCGTGTGAAGTGTGATTGCACAAAACTCTGTTGGTTTATTGTGAAAAAATTAAACTTGTAACAATTTGTTTACATAGAAAATATTGCTTAAGGCACGATTTTCAAATAAGATTGTTTCAAAATAAAATTAATGCATACTTTTGAAATAAACAAACTATAAGAAAACTTTTTAAAGAGAAAGTATTTAAGCAACGTTATCAGGGTTGATTTAACCTGAACTTTACTCAGTTTCAAGTTAAGAAAAAAACCTTATCCTTGTGGAAAGAGCCTGTTTGCATCGATAAGCGCACGCCAAATGAATGACAAATTCCAAGCGCAAACGTATATCAACGTCGCCAACTCTTGAAACGACGTTCCACGGTCTCCTTTTCATATTGCTTTGAAAACATATTTGAATAGTTTGATAACGAAATAAAATATAACTATATGTAGTCGTGGATGATTACTTAAATCCTATACCGCAATGGTCTTTTCTTAACTTGCAACAGAGTATAGTGTTAATATTACAATAAAGAAGATGCAAAAATCTTTTTATTAATTTTTGCTTTAGAAATTAATATTCGAAACATGAGTTATTGCTACCAGATAAGTCATTCCAAAGAAGAAAAAAACAAGCTTTTGACTACCTTATTATTTTTTTAATTATAATTGAATCAATTTTTCATGTATTTTTCTAATATAGAACTTAACTTAAAAAGTGACGTTGTTACAGGGTTTCAGAAAAAATAGTTATTTTAACTATAATTGATGTCCACGCACTTGACCACTATTTCAGCTTGCATGGAATATAAGATTTTTTTAGTTTTCTTAGTGGTTTCTTCCTAAGAAAAAAAAGCAACTTACTGCCAGAAATACTATTTATTGATATAAAAATAAAAATAAAAAATAAAAACATTTTCATAGTTGCGCCTTGTTTTTACAAATAGAATTGATAATTATTGTTGAAATTTTTAAAATATAATTACTTTCAATAAAATTATTGTGTTCTTTTCTTTATAAAAAATCACCAGAAATTTTGCAACGATTTGCGGTGGCACATTGATTAATACACTGAGCTGTCATTATAAGGAATCTAGAATTTATGAAGACTGATTTGTACCAGCTTGTCTTGGAAGTCAGGAGCGTTATCCTAAATGACCCCCTGACATATAACGGGCTGTTGCAAAAATGTTTTATATTGTATTTCAGGATGGCCACTACCGGAGAAAATCTAAAAAGTGGTGACAAATATTCCATGAGGCAATGATAAATTTTAGAAGTTCTAATTCCACTTTATCTTAATCCCTTTTTGGCGCAATGTTGCCAGTCTAGCAACACTTACTTAAAAAATGCTGGAAACTACTAGAAATGTAAAACTATTTCGAAATATTCGCAAATTTTTCGCAACTACAACTCTCTAAAAATACAAATAGATAAATTATGCCTCTTCAATAAGAATCCACTGTCCGCGGTGACATTTGCTAGGGTGTTGCATTGCTAAAATTTGCAACCGAAATTTGCTGCTCCGTAAAGGGCTGCAAAACAATTTGGGTTAACAGCTACATCTTGGTAGAAATTTGCTTGATCCGGGATTTCAATTGTCTTCTGGGTTGGATTCAAAATTACAAGGTTAAGTAGTTGAACATTAGTAGTCGTGAACCCAAAAATTGGATCGGCTGTGCAAGGACGGTTATAAAATAAAATATAATACATCTTGGTACTTGATCCAGGAAATCCCTTGTCTTCTGTATTGGATTCCAAAGTACAAGGTTAAGTAGTTGAACAATAGTAGTCGTAAACCCAAAATTGGGTCGGCTGTTCAACGACGGTTATAAAATAAAATCTAATACATCTTGGTAGGCAAGGGTAGCCTGGTTGGTAAAGCGTTGGACTCGAGCTCGATTCCAACCGGCCGAAGAATCTCAGTGTATTAAACTGGTGCACGTTAAATCAGTCGGGGTTACAAAGTTCTCCAAGATCCCATTACAATTCAATACCTCTGGGGGTACTGATCCAGGAGTTCTCTTGTCTTCGGGACAGGGTTCAAAATTACAAGGATACGGAGTTGAACATTAGTAGTCGTAAACTCAAAATTGGGTTAGCTGTTCACCGACGGTTATAAAATAAAATACATCTAGGTAGATAGAAATTGGTAAAATAAATTTTTACATTCGAACTTTCTCTACCATTTTTAAAATTTTTACCACTTGTTGCCGTTCTATATTAGTTTATAACGAAAATATTATTCAATAAAATTAAAAAATCCTGCTTGCTACCGAAAAAAATTGCGTTTTTAAATAAAAATTATATTTAAGTCTGTCGGAGAAATTCTGTTCGAGTTATGAATTCAGTTATCTTGAAAAAAAATTGGCTTCGAGAAAAGCTCTTCAAAATGTAGAAATAAAAATGTTATTTTGAGCAATATCTTTACCAATTTTATTTTTTTAATGTTATTTTTTATTCTCATTTTTATGTTATTTTTACCTAAAGAAAGTATAGTATTTAACTATTTTGCGAACGATATTTGTTTTTCAGTTGCCTCCGAATGGTATGCAGCCAGATGTTGTGGAGCAATTTTTCCAGGTTTCTCTGACTGATCTTCAACTGGATTACATCGATCTCTATTTGATCCACTGCCCTTTTGCTTCTAAGGTAAATATTGCTGTTGCATAAAATATGGACGAATGGAGCATATGTGTGTGATACTATAACTGATAAATTTATCTCTTAGACATAATATTTCCTATTGGCAATTCGATAACAAATTAGTCTAGTCTTTTTTCTTTTTTTTTTTAGTCTGCGTTATAATTATTGAGCATACCCTACAACTACTACAAATTTACTGCAGATTCAGAAAATACTTTTTTCCTTGTGGCAAAGATTACGTATTAATATTTTTATAAATTAGATCTAAAAGACTTTATCCATCACTACAAACTGATGTATATATATATATCAGGTACGTACAGAGTAGCGGAATGAACTCTCAAGATTTTATATTGATCAAGTGTGGACTTTTTATTTTCTTCCTCTCTCATTTTTTCGGAGCTTTGCTCAGTTATTTACCGCTAATAGGAAAATAGCGAAGTAGATAAACCCGGGGCCTCCCTGGCCGAGAGGTATCACCGGTGAAACGCTGTGCAAAGCTTGGAGGTAGCTGGCTCAAATCCCGCTGTTACCCTAGATGTATCTTCATGCTCTCCTTTTCTGTATTGTGCTATCTGCTCTTCTATTTGACAAAGATTTATAAGCCTATATTGAGCACACAAGCCTGCAAATTTTTGCAATTCTAATAAATAAATAAGCAGAGTAGCCAACTACTAGACTTTTTGTGGTACGCTTTATGGAGTAGTGAACAATCAAACACTAAATGCATGCAATTCTAATAAATAACTAAGCAGAGTAGCCAACTACTAAACTTTTTGTGGTACGCTTTATGGAGTAGTAAGCAATCAAAAACCAAATTTATGGAATTCTAATCTATTATATATAATTCTCTTACGTGGCTCCCAAATTTTGGCTGTATTTCTTTTCCGCCGGTGGCAACGTTTGCTTTGTTTTGNGCGTTTTTTTAAATGAAACAAATATGACGTTTGCCAGTTCCACAATCAAGCCAATAATTTACAGAGGTTTCTGCACAGAAATCTGAAAGGAGTTTTCCATTTAGGTGGATGTTCATAATTGCGCTTAACGCTTCTTGTTTAAGACCAGTACGCAATGTGTTTTTTTTTTTTTTTTTTTTTTTTTTTTTTTTTTTTTTTTTTTTTTNGCAGTACTCCCAGACAGAGAAAACATCAATTCCACCATGCGCAGTATTTCGAGATTTGAGGGTCATTTTAGAAGTGAGGTGCTAGACTCATGCAAGATAATAAAAATTGAAAATGTATCACGAACATTAACGAGAAAATGGCCGTCCGCGCGGACGTCGGATTCGAGCAATTCGTTGTCCGCGGGGAATTCTTGACCGCCGAGGACGGGCGGTTTTTCGAGCCCTGAGTGTAACTATAAAATTTTTAATTCGAACTCCGCAGTGGTGAATTAAATAAAGCAGACTCCCCGCCCACAAATAAACTGCTATTAAAATAGTTTGGTTACCAGTTTTTTTCTTTTTTTACCCCGATTATCGACACCCTGAGAATGCATATATGGCTCTCCAGATTCGAAGAGGTTAATGTTTGAGTCATGGTTTAATAAAGTCTATTAATAGGGTTTTTACTCACCACTACTTCTAAATAATTCAAAAGCTTATTTAATATGCCAATTAGTTACAATTATCCCTGTTTTATTCCAATTACCAGAAAGAACCACCTTAAAGACCACTAACGGCCCCAGGAGCCCAGATATATTTCAATGATGACAATTATCCCTAAGGGCCGTAATGGCATCAAACGCCCAGTTCCACTACAACGAATGAACGAACTATCATTCTTATGATGTGTGCAAGTTCTTTAAAAACTTTGATTTTGAGCTCATCAAAGACAATATACAATATAGCCCGGCAACCGCCTTTTTCCTATCTGATGGGATTCTATCCCGTAAATTTTGTAAATACTTGTCTATAATTTTTCACTCGATATTCACCTATATATTTTTGCGCATTTATTATCATTTGTTTTTCCTATTTCTCTGAGGCTATGTGGCTACTGTGCACCTGCGAAGCTCGGGGAGAAGCGAGGCAGTCTGTCGCAAAAACCTCCTCTCTCTCTCTTAGAAATGTTCGTTTAATCTCGCTACTTTGTTTTAATTTTTTCTCTGTTCAATGTTACTGAACCCCAACTTTCACCATTCAATTGCGCTTCGGCGATTTATCATACATTCCCACTCAGATGAATTAGTTAGAGCCGCTGGCGGGGCTGATGCTAAGATAACTACCACATATGAGTATGAATACGGTTATCCCGTATCTCAACTTATGTCTATATATGTCAAATTATGTCTATATTTAAATGTGCCAATATATGTTAATATCTATATATGTCAACTTAGATTCGATGAATCAGATATTCTTTCAATTGTTGTATTTACTCAAGCAAAGTGCTTGTTTTCCTATATTAGATACCACATAGACTGCTAAATTCAAAAAGTTTAAACAATTCACTGCTATGAATTTATTCTCGGGGAAGAAGCCATTCATTATCTAAATTGCGTCCGTTAAAAAAATTTGGTAGTTATGGATACTTTATTATTCCCGAAAAAAAGCGAAAAATGAAATTTATTTGGTACCAGTTTTTACTCTTTTCCGTCTTGATTTATAATGGACTTTCAGCCTTGCTACTACCTAAGAAAAATGTTTCCTAAAATAACGAAAATTTGTAACAATATTTATATAAATGACAGTAAAAAAATGAACGTTTGCTGTACTGACGATATTGTCTAGTTGCAATTGCATGTTGAAACTACTTTGAGAATTCTGTCAAGTAAACGTAAATTTTTGTAAGGAAAATAAATTTTTTGCTATCTGAAGACACGCAGTAATATTTTTTAAACTTTAGTTCTGCTTTCCTTTATTAAACACAGCATGTCACGACCTAAAAAATAAATCTTTTTAATACTGTAAAAAATGTGATAGTGTATTGTTGTCCTATTCCCTAAACTTCACCTTATTTTTTCACGTAAGTTATTAAATTAAACATTTTTAAAACGAAAATTATAATTATATTTATATCTACTGCATATTTTATCTATAGCATATGCCGCACGTCATTTGGGCTTTTTCTAACTTAAACAAACGTCCAGAATAAAAAAAAGTTAAAAGAGCCTTTTTATAAGAGGTTAACGTTATTTTATAGCTATTGCTTTTACTTTTAGGACATAAAAAAGGGATTTCTGTTGTTTAAGTAATAATAAAGCAATATTTTTTTCAGAGACAAGAAGATGACAGAGATTTTTTTCCTGTGAACGACGATGGGAACTATGATGCTGATACTGCTGTTGATCTCACTCAAACTTGGAAGGTAAGATGATGTTTTTTTTTTTGTTTTTGTTTTTTTTTTTAATGCTTGAATTAAACTATAAAACTCGGTGAAGCATGAGAACGGAGCTAATTTTAAATTTTTTCTTTGAATTACTTTATTTTTAAATCCATAACTTCCAAAAAAAAAATTACTTATGAAAGACCCAAAAATTTGTTTTAAAAATAAATGCATCTTATAAATATTCTAGAAATAATTGTATTTTTTCCTTGTTATAGAATAATAATATATTTTAAAGCAAATTGCTCATAATTTTCATTGAATTTCAAAACTAATTTTAAAATTATATTTGTAATATTAATCAATCTGCAACATTAATTAATATATAAATCAATTTTTTTTAAATTTCGGCACTTAAAATTCCATTAAAAAAATTCATGAAATTAAATAGATGATGGTTGTTAATTGAAGCATGCATTATTTCTAAATTTTTTAAAAAAATTATAAGAAATATTCTTTAATATCCTTTTTCTTTGATTTAATATTCTTTAATTTAATTTTGTTTAATTTAATATTCTTCAATTTTAAATTAGTATTCCAAAGAGATAGTTCTGGCTTATAAACATTCTTATAGATTATTAATTTTAAGACTATTTAGAAGAAACATTCTTTAATCTTTAAGAAATATTCCAAAGATATAATTTGGCTTTTAAATATTCTTATAAATTATTAATTTTAAGACTATTTATAAAAATATTCTTTCATTTATAAGAAATAAACGAACGAGTAAATAGAAGTGAACAAACCTTTAGGCTAGTTTTGAAGCTTAGCTCTTTTAGAAAATCTTATCAGTTTATATAAGAGTTAAGAAATGAAGTGATCAGAATTGACATGTTAAATACACTAATTCCTATGACTTCCAACTTGTATATTCATTGAGAAATATTTTACAAAATGATAATTAATGTTTAAAGTAGGAAGAATCAATGGTAATGATACAGGTTTCCAGTAGGTCTTTAAAAAATATGATGGTGGAATCGAACTCCAATAAGTTCGATCATTTAACTTATTTGCATAGTTACCATTTTTTGCAATTTCTGTTTAAAATTATTTGCAGTGGTAGTGATAGAACAAATGTTTTAACAATTGTAATAGGTATACTATTTTAATAGGACATCAAAACTAGGACATTAATATATTTATATAAATTATTATATGCTACGCTTTTTGCAACAAATCTTATAGAAAGATGGACCAAAAACTATAGCTTTCAGAAATTTTGGTAACATTGCCAGAGCCTTAATAGCTTTCACTATTGGAGAACTGGGACAATGTAGTGTTTGATATGAATTTTTAAATCTTTAACGTTCAGTGATGTCAAAACTCCCGGATCAAGCATTGGTACAAATTAACCTTCCTGGAGGACCCTTCGATGGAACTAGCCCGCATTTGCGTTATATGAAGAGGAAAACCATAAAAATTTCCCACGGTAAGCCCGTCGAATACCGCCTACCATTGATGATGTTTTACGTCAGCTGTGAGGTCGGTGCGATCCGGGAGCAGAATATGTATCAACCAGCCTCCGTTTGGATTCGAACGTTAGTTTCCTCTTTTAGAAGCAAGCGCTCTCTCTTCTGAGCCACCGTGACTCTCAGCTAGCATTTCTCCGTTTGGATTCGAACGTTAGTTTCCTCTTTTAGAAGCAAGCGCTCTCTCTTCTGAGCCACCGTGACTCTCAGCTGAGCATTTCTCCGTTTGGATTCGAATGTTAGTTTCCTCTTTTAGAAGCAAGCGCTCTCTCTTCTGAGCCACCGTGACTCTCAGCTGAGCATTTCTTTTACTTTTTTTATATTATAACCGATGTTCAACAACCGACCTAACTTTGTGTTTACGGCTGCCAATGTTCAACTCCGTAGCCTTTTAATTTATTTTGAACCCATTCCAGAAGACGAGAGAACTTCCGGATCAAGTATTAGGAGAAATTTCCCTGCGTGGAGGACTTTTTGATGGAACTAACCCGCATTTGCGTTACATAGAGTGAAAAACCACGAAAAAATTCCACTGTTAATCTGACGGCAAAGGGACTCTAACCCATGATCCGTCTACCACTGAGGATATTTCACGTCAGCACTGCGATCGGTGCGAGCCAGGTGCGGAATTCGTACCAACCAGTCATCTTTGGGGTTCAAACCCAGTTCACCTTATTGATAGGCGAGAGCACTGAGACAGCTATGCATTTGAACACATTAACCCTTTCGAGGCCGGTGAATCATACAGACATTCTAAGGGTGGAGACAATCTGGGTAAGAAAGATAGGGTTCCCACGACCTGGACAAAATAAATTAGTAATAGTTAAGATTTTTCAAAACTACTGAAGAATACTTAAATTTAGCTTTCATTTGAGAATTACGAAATTATTCCTAAGGTATTTTTTTTGCCCCTATGTAGATTTCCGTTAAATTAAAATCTTATTGGTAACTTAAAATATCTAGATTTATCTCATTTCTGCTACCACTTTTAAAAATTTTAGACAGATAAAACTCATAGCAAACTCTTTCTTTTGCAGTTTATTTGTGGGTGGGGTGATAATAGTTTTGAGTAGGACTGGGCTATAAATCGATATATC